TTGGTTCAGAACTATGCAATGGGGCACCACAACCTTTTATTCTGTAACCAGCTGCTGACCCTAATATGAATTAACCAATTAGACATCTCTATTTAATTGTTGGGTGACCCATCTAAAACTCACTAGGAATTTTTATTTTAAACAACACTCAACAGTCTAAAAGAATCCTAGTTATCCCTCTGGTGGAGGTGGTTGATTTGATAGAAGCACACAAAGGAGTTCAGCAAACGGGGGGGGGGGGGGGGGGGGGAGAAACTGCAAGATCATTTTAGACTGTGTTCTGTAAAAGAACATCTTAATATAATGAGCCTTTTTTCAGTCTCCCTTGGCGGAGCATCAGCCCTCTCAGATAACCCCACACAAAGCAAATACCATCCGTCTGAAGTTACATTTGCTCCTTGTTATCACAACTTATGCCACTTAATTCATTATTCAACGAATTCACTTTCTTGTTTATTAGATGCAAGGTAGCCGCTTATCCCTAAAGGCCATGTATGCAAAAGACTGCTTGTAATCCTGTCACTTCAAACCTCTCTAGGCTTTTACATTGCTTCAGGAATTAGGAGGAAAGAAGCAAACAATTTAGATTTATTCCTGATGATATTAAATCTGTACATGATGAAAGAAATAAGAAAGAAATGCTAACCTCAAATTTGTTGATTTGGAGGGTGGCTTCAGATGCTATCTTTACCTGTAAAAGTTAGTATATTCACTTGTTCCCTATAATAAACACCTTGAATTATTCTTCCTACATTAAAGAGGACTAAATTAAATGCATTTTTTTTTTGGTACAGGTTGCCTGCAAAAAATGGTACTATATCTCATCAACTTCATTTCAAGATGCAGGCCAGCTCAATTCACATGCTGAAAACAGATATTAAACATACTTTACAATCTGATACCTGATGTGTCAAGGCTTTGGGGCACCATTCTTTAAGTGTATGTAATGTTGGATTAAAAAATGCCTTGAAAACGATTTTCAATTTTTTCAATATGGGTATTTTGAGTCTCTTTTTTTGGTTGTCAATAAAAAGATGTAATAAGTATATTCTGAAAAACATAAGACAATCTAATTGAACTCTTCACACAATATAGTATAATGGTCAGAGATATTTCCATTTGATTTGGTAATCTTATGCTATTAGAATCATTAAAATGTAAACGAATTACTGAATTAAGCAACTTTCCCTGCACTCTTAGCACAATTAATATTGCATAAAATTATCTGCATAATTATACACAGTGTGTTTACATAAAACATCTAGGAAAAAGCTACAAATCAGAGGCTGAGTGTAAAATATTTTAGGCTGTATGCTGAAGTCTTCTAAATATGGAAATCTAAGTGGCTGTTTCAGTATTGGTGCTTTACGTAACTGAAGACAGTTCTAAATTTCATGCTTTACTTATTTAAATGCTAAATAACTCTATACTTTTTTAATTCTCATAAATAAATATATGAAATATATCTAGACTGAATGTATTCTAAACCTGAGTGCATTATTCTTCAAACTAAGAAGCATTTACTTTCTCCAATTAATTTGCATTATGAGGCAACTATTAGAGATTCAACATTAGTTCATCAACAAAAGCCACAGAGAGCATTTTAATGCAGTACAGCATATACAGATATGCCTAGGACAAAAGACTCGACATCTCTAGAAAAGAGGAGCCATTTACGAGGAACCTCATTTTGTGAATAGAGTTGTGACTAACAAAATAATGTGTAAAGAATTACCTGCTGCTATTCTGAGGAAGGAAATACACTTGAAAACTCACATAAGCCAGCAACTGTGGATATTATTGTGATTCCTGCCATCCTCCCAAATATCATTCATATTAATATTGTGATGCACAAATTGATTTACCTGAATAATTAACCTTTACTACAGCATAACTACCTTAGGTACAGATTAATGTTTTCTATTCAGCTTACGACATAAACCTACCAGAGAAATCACGCTCATTAAATATACTGCAAAAATCAATTGTTTCCTGCCACTCTGAGGAATTAATATCAACAATTAAGTTGTGTAGTATTTTTAAAAGCTTATATCCATCTGTCTGTGCCAATTAAAAACAGCAAAATAGAGCAAAATGAAATTAACAAAGAATGCTAATAAAACACAACTTTTCTGTTGATGTCTTAGATATATAACTTTATTCATTATTGTACAACTCTTGGTTTTTTACATGTGGGAGATTTAAAAAGTCACCCAGTGATTTTTTATAGTGCAACCGTATGCTAGATAAAGATATTTAAGCTGTCAGTATAAACTGCTTCTGTTTTCATTTTGCATTTAATTTCAATGCCAGACTCAAGGCATAAATTTTTCATCACCTGCAATGCTATGAATAAAAGATTAAAAAAAGAACTGAGAAGAAATTCTAACACATGCGGTGCATGCGGCACATTGTGCAGACGCAGTATTCATAACTAGATGTTTAATTTCCATCTTTTTTTTTACATCAGGAACATTATTATTTGAGTTAATACATCATGGAGCTAATTTCCCAGTATTTTAGCTTTGCAGAATTCAAGTTTACCTAGTTTGGGCCAAATAGGCCATTCATTCCACTTGAAATCTGAAGTAGACGCCCTAAGATTTACATGCTACATTGTTAGCACTGCAGGATTCTATTACTCTCATATTTCTGGAAAGGGAATATTTCAACATCATATATTTTTGTTTTATTCTATGAAATAGCACATACATTAACCTTGCCTGAAAGTTCAAAGAACTAAGAATTACTAACATGGTCCCACCTAATATCAGGTCCTCATTAAGGCTTGCTTCGTGTTCTCAAAGTGAAAGATATAATCAATCCCAGGAGGTGAAGTGATGAGCTCAGTGTTGAGGCATTTTTTATTTAGTACTTAGGACTGTTTTCGGTAGCACAATGCATCTTCACTGTCACTTTATTAGCCTCTAAAGGACTCAGAGACCAAGACAATTTCTAATCCCCACCAATAGACTCTTAGTGAGCAAGAGATGCACAAGAGCCCTTCCTAATCTCATCAGGAGGGCCTTGGGTTTATTAGCCTTGTCATTCTGAAACTTCACTTTCGTAGGGCAGTCAAGAGCCTGCTGAGGACTCCAGGCCTGTCAGGGACATCAAGATTCAGTCCTTCGGATGTTAGTGGCATCTAATAATGTCTAGCTTGTTGTCTTTGGCTCTAATTACTCAAACTAGTTTTTTATGGTTATTGAAATTAAGTCTAGGGAAAGCTTTGGAAAATAATAAACCAAACCGTGTTCTGATACATTATTATCAGTGTGGTATCCAATTAGCTCAGTCGGTTAGCTGATAGTGCTAATGAGACCTAGGTCATTGGTTCAATTCCAGGGGGGCCAGTTAGCTTTACTTTGTTCTATGGTCACAGATGGATATCTCATCTTATCCAGCTGTTTTAAGTGCTACTGGTCACCAAAATAACCAAATAAGAAAGTATGAATGGATCAGCGCAAATCCATCCCTACAACGAGGCTCTAGAGGGCATCAGTACCATCTTTTGTGACCACTGTACAAAAATTAGTATTTTAGTATAAAACCTCTTTTTTTCTTATTGTTTATTACTGGAAAGCAAACACTTTAGATCCCCCAAATCATTTAATTAGCTATAATTAGTTAGACTTCACCTCTCTATGACGTTGGCAAGTTTAATTAAGCTTACTTTACAGATGACAAAGCCTAAAGTGAAAGGTTAAGTCACTTGTCAGAGGTCACATAAAATGTCAGGGGCATTTCTCAGATTGGAATTTCTGTCTTCTGTATCTCATTCCATCGTGGTACCCAGGAGACTGCTCTGCCTCTATGGAAACAGCCTGAAGTCACAGTAATATGTCACTATATTATCACATTATTTTTCATTATGCTAGAAGACACAAACTTAGTGAAAAGGCATGGGGAGTCAAAGATTACAGATGTATATCCCTTTAAGCAACGTAAACGTATGGAAATTTGGATTTGTTGAACAGATAAATTAGAAGGTGTCATGTATCACTTAGTCTATGCTACCTCATATTGTTATTAATCACTTTTTTTTTGCATGCTCTAGATTCCCAACTAGACAGAATGCACAGGGAACAGACCATGTCTAATATGTTTCTTGAATCCATAGTAGGTATTAAGAAATATTTATTCATGACAGTGGCATTTGATTGGATGAGAACAGGAGAGTATGACTTTATACCCTATGGGAATGGCAAAATAGGAAGTGAGAAAACCTTCATGATGGTGGGCAGAATTTTTCCTACTGAGCTTCTATAATTATAACAATTCTTGTTTGATGTGGTATATCCAAATCTAACACATATCCTGGACACCAAGCACAGAAAGGACCTATAGAATAAGGCACTTAAGGGAAATTTTGCAAAGAGTAGAATGCTTCAACAGCAGGGTAGAAGAGGCAGCTTGATGCAGCTATGGGATGTAGTAGCACAATAGGAACCTGTCATTGGAAAAATGATGTTGTGAGAAAATTAGTTGCTTAGTATTATAGAAAAAAAAATCCACATGATGGTGGAGTGGAGGACAATAAACATATTTTTCATTTTATGAAATGATTATTCCTAAGATGTTTTAAAGTTTTGTATTTTTCTCATGCCTGAAGTGAATTTTTTTTGAGAGAGAAGAGGGTGGGTGGAGGGAGAGGGAGAAAGAGAATCTCAAGCAGGCTCCATACCCAGGGGAGAACCTGGTGTGGGGCTGGCTTTATATCCCTACCCTGAAATCCTGACTTAAGCCAAAATCAAAAGTCTGAGGCTTAACTGACTAAGCTACCCAGGTGCCTCACGAAATGATCTTATTTAAGTTATTTTTTAGAAAGTTTCAGAAGTACAGCAATTAAAGTAGTTGTATAAAGATATTCCCCCCTCCTGTAACTGACATAGATTTGATTCTTTTAGTAAAGGCTAAAGTCAAGAACTTCTCTTGGGGTTGCTTTGTCAAAGGAGGAGCCATTTAATTTTTTTTAAAGATTTATTTATTTATTCATTCAGGATAGACAGAGAGAGCAACGCAGAGACACAGGAGGAGGAGAATCAGGCTCCATGCCGGGAGCCCGACGTGGGACTCAATCCCAGGTCTCCAGGATCAGGCCCTGGGCCAAAGGCAGGCGCTAAACCGCTGAGCCACCCAGGGATCCCCAGGAGGAGGGGGAAACAGGTCTTAACACTCATGTGATCCAAGAAGGAAATGGCAAACAGCACCAAACTGAGGTATAATAAGTATGTTATTATACTTATACCAATCCAAGTTTTTCATTTCAATAGAATTACCCTTCCTATTCACGTCTATCATTAAATCTCTGGGTACTGGAATTCTTCAAACAGTCTTCTATAGCCTAGGGTCTTATTACTAACTCCTAAAGTGGTTAGGGATAATCAATCTCTCTCTTTTTAAAAAAATATATGAATATCCTGTACAAATTATTAGAAAATATAAATTCATTGCTCAATTTTGTTAAAACTAGAAAAAATTAAAATCATTAAGTGCTTATTCTCAGGTGAAATATGGCACCCACTTTCATGCTACAGAGATTTACAGAATAATTACATGGCCAATATAGTTCAATTTTCATCTTCTGACTTTTAAAATAGTATTAATGAATTAGTGCTTTACACCATCAGAGCTTTGATGATAATTTACCCACTTTAATGTATGAGAAAATGTACTGAGCACTAGTATTTCAGGGATGGTTTCTTCCCACCAGATTAATGTTTATTAACCTATGAGGCTTCCAAGGTTCATGAACCTCCTGAAAATATATGCAGATTTTGGAGGTATATGCAGATGTTGCCTGTTTCTAGCAAAGAGCTCCTCTTAGAACTTCAAAGGAACTCCTGAATAAAAAAAAAAAAAAAAAAAAAGGTATGAACAGCACTACTCTAGATCTTCAGCTTGTGTTTGCTTTTAAGAAGTTAATATTCATCTCTCTGTAATAATTAAAGCTATCTATATATTTACATATATATTGTTCAATTTAATTGCTTTATGAATCAGTGGAATACTCAAAGAAAAAATGCTGTATTTTGTTTCTAATAAGATAAAAGAAAAAGACACAAATGGAAGCTACAAAAATTTACACTAATTATTTCCATACTGAGCAGTAGGGGAGATTAATAGGGGCAGTTAGAGAAATACCTTTCCTTGCGATATGTGAGATGAAAGTAAATCTTAAGATACATTAGGTATAGTTCTTCTAATGAAGTAGAGTGTGAGACAAGAAATCCTGGGTTCCTTTCCAGGTTTGTGATCTCTCTACTAGATGCCTCTAGAAGATGTGAAATAACTATTTTTATTCATTGTCAATCAAACACATCACTTTACACATGTGTTATGCTTAGCTAACCTGTCTTTTTAAAATAGGAAATACTCCAAACACATACAAACAGAGACACAGAGGATGAGATGATCGAGAACTGGGCTCTGTGTGCATCGGCGCCATCAACCCACTGAGTTCTCACAAGCAAGCTAATCTTGCCAAAAACCCTTAAAATGTTTTGTTTCTGTTTTTGTTTATTCACTCCTAGTTGCTTTAAATACAATCAGTTGGATTGACATAAATCAAAAGTTTCTCAGTGCATCTCAGATGACTGAAAAACTGACAGATTCTTAGTCTCCATACCAGGTTTATGCAAATGGAATTGCTCAGGAAGGGCCGTGGAAATCTATAGTGTAACAGGTAATCCAGGTGACTCATGATCATACAAGTTTGAGAAATCTGGATGTCATATTCTTAGTCATTTAAGGTTTTTGAATTTGGGTTAGCTGGTTTGTGGTTCCTTTTTTCTGAAGAACTTCCATATACTATGTAACTCCCTCAAATCAATTTCACCTGGAGGCTGCGAGAATACATTTCCAATCATGAAACGAATTGTTGGTGAATATGCCACACAGCATTCTAGGAGTTAATTCAAAATTCTATTGTCAAGGAATGTAAGGGAATGAGAACATGTGTATGATATTAAAAATAACAGCTTTCTTTATCCTCCTTTAAAAATCAGTACTGATTTCAAAAGGCATTGATAAGCACAGGGTCCGCATATTTTTTCAGTCATGCTCTTGGGGAAACATTAATATGCTCTTCTGGACCACTGGTTCTTTTTGGATCTCACAAAAAAAGCTTTTAATTCAAAAGGGGAAGGGCAGGGTATTGGTGGAAAATTGTAAAAGGTTTATGAGGGGGTTTTTTTCCCCTTGATTAACAAACTTGAGAGCCAAGTCACCTTCTGTTTCCAATCATGTTTCTATTAACTTGGACTTTTTTTTTTGTTCCAACCTGAAAGTGTGGGGTGAAATCTTATACTTAGTTCTATGAAGGCACTTGCCAATATCATAATACAATTACATTTGGCCACTTGGAGAATAGATCTATGACCAAAATCATTGTTAACAATGGATATTTTTGCCTGGGGTTGTTTTTTCCCCAGTAATATCCCTAGCATATTTAAAATGGTGTAAGTTTATATATAATACAAATACAGGAACAAATGCAAGGTAATTACACGTCTACGGGCAAATACCAGTGTTTCCCAACCAACAGTATGTGATTTCAGGTTTAGATCAGTGACTAGTGATTGCAGCTAAGCTACAGAACAGTATCAAAAGCATGAGAGGTGACCTAATAGAAGATAGCTTTCTTGAGTTTCTAGAGGTAATCCCCAGAAAATACTGATATATTTCCAGATTTTTCTTCATGCTAGAAATGCTACAGAATGGTCATTACTGTATAACAATGTACTACTTTATTATAAATATGAGGCCACGTGGCCATTTTGGGATCATCACTCAATACTCAGTCAGTAGCTCCTTGCTGGCTGGTGTAGTATTGTTCATTCCATTATTACTTAAGGCAAAAATGCTAAATTCTCCATGTAAATTCAGCTGCCCCTTTTTGTAAAGTATGCAGGTTTACTTTTCCCATTTGGTCAACTCCAGGGAGTAACTCTAAATTCCATTACGTAGGTAAGTGATTTTCATTTGGGGTGTATGTGGACATGTTTAAAAGTGAATTCCTACAGATAAAGAATTGATACTTGGAGTTTCTTCTAAATTTTATGTGCCAACCTATTTTAATTTTTACAGTTGGGCTAGCTTTTGATTTCAGACCATCATCTTACAATCATTTTATCTATAAAAGAAGCTCGGCTCTACTGTTTCTTCACAATAATTTTGTTATGCCCCCAATTCAAGATTCATACTTTTAATATATTCAAAGTGATCATCTTCTCAATTATTTAAGTTTGTAGGCAACTGATTAGTAAGGTGAATTTAGAATGCCTTCAGGAAGATGTGAAATCACTCATGAAACACACAATGTGTTTTGAAACATTACTGTTAAACAATCACCTATGTTTCAGGGTGACTTAAAATGTTTTCCAGTGCTTTCTATGGTGATCTCTACCAGTATTCCCACTGATAGCATATCAGCACACTAATGACCCAGTGTTTGAGACTGCTGAACATGACTTATTTGAAGCTTCCATTACATAATAAATTATTTTAAACATACCTTTTGGGTAGTTCATTTATTTAAATGACCCCTAAGCCTTGGGGATGATTAAGGATAAAGTTTTATGTAAGCTTCATATTTTTTTTTATTGGCAAGCTTCACTTTTAATAGTTTTCTGGCACCTTCTAGGATAGTCTTGTTTATGTTGTCTTTAAAATCTATCAGATAATTATATATTACCATGTGTAATTATTCTAAGCACTAGCATTATTATTTTCATATTTATAATTATTTATTCATTTCAAGTCACTTGGCATGCTACTAATGGGCCATACAGTTAGATATCCTAATTTGTTCTTGTGACTTATAATTAATTTAAACAGAAGTTCATCATAAAGTATTTTGAAGTCCATAAAAATTATTTTTTGTGTTACATGCATGTCCATAGATATAAAACTCAAAGATTTTTTTCTTTCATAATATACTATAATACAGTTACAAGTGCATTGAAATTCATCTTGTTAGAATGGTAGTAATATATCCCACCAGGACTACTGTTCCTAGTAGCAATTTAAAATAATTATTGTGAGACTTGATGCTAGACATCAGGTTTGCAATAGAATTACAATGAGGGAAGTGTATTAGAGACAAAACATTGCTGGAAGAAAACTTCATAATGGCGCAATTTGGAACTAAGCCTCAATTTTACAGTAATAGATTCTCTTTATGATGGCACAAAGGAGTGAATGCACTTAGCAAATTTAAATCTATTATTAGTCACACTTTGTGGATTGCAGTGCAAAAGGAGAAAAGAAATTAGCTTTTTAAGTATGTTCTTATATAAAACAGGTTCTAGTAAGAACAGTCTTATATAAAATCTCCTCGTTACAGTTCAGAAGCACTGTCAGTCTTTATAACAGCAGGGAGTTGTCCAGGTTTAAAAGTCTTTCCAAAAGAGTTCTGGAGGTCTCTAATTTTATTACAAGTTTCTGAAGTCAAGACACATTCAACAACAGTACATTTCTTATTTACAGAAATTCAGTATAGGACAAGAGAGATGGAGTTAATTTGGTCTCTACTGCTTACTGCGCTCTCTCTCCCTGAATGAAGAGGTGTTTGTAGTTCACACTGGTACTCTACCTACTTTTAACATGATTTTGATTACAGTAGGAGAACGCAACAGCATTAAGCTGCTATGATTTGGCACTCATCTGTGTAAAAGGAGTTTCAATTGTCAATTTTGCAAAAGAAGCCAACAGTAAGAATTCAGTAGGTATTTTTAGTATAAAACTAAAAAAAAAAACACTAAAAAAAACCAAAACACTAAAAATCTAAGCTTACATTTTCAAGTTCAGTAAAATGTTTTATTTTTGTCTTAATTATGATCCATTTTTCCTACCTCCTCTTAAAACAAGACTGAGTAGAATATTTGATAATAGCCTAATTTAGTTTTAAACAAATAACATATCCATAGTTATTGACTGGATACATAGGAATGCAGCTATAATCCTTAAGAAATATTAAACAAAATTCTTAGATGTTTCACTGAGGTATTTATTTGTGAAAAGGAGGGGAATCACCTGGCTGAATTGGGAAAGGTTGGCCACACATAGAATTTAATGTCGTTAGATTGATAGGATAAGAAAGTGAGGACAAAAAGAGAATGGCCACCTGTATAGTGAAGCTCTATACAGCCTAAATAGGGCAGATATAAATAAAATACAATAATGCAAAGGGAGCACGTTAAAGAAGTATTTTCTTATATAAACTATCCACATTCATAAGTGCCCGTATTAACACTTAATATTGCTTTTTTTTAAAAAAATAAAGATTTCATTTTGCTTCTGTAACTGATGATAGCTGGCTTTGTTGAGTAATTGGAATATACTTTTATCCTGCTGGACTCCAGTTAGTAGTTTATACATAGGCCAACATTTGA